GTTCAGATCCCACATACAGACCAGCCACTCACTGGCTGAGCAAGGGGTGGGGGCAACACCGAGGGTTGCGATCCCGTGGCCGGTCCCGGTCCGGTACGGGCGCGACACTGAGGGTTGTGATCCGTTGCCGGTCACGAAAAAAGACAAAAAGGAAAAAAAAAATGCAAATCAAAGGAAAGAGTGTGTTTTTGTATTAAAAACCAGTCAGAGCTCAGCGCTGGCAAAAGCCCAACAAGAGCAACACATTCATTCCCATGCTGGCAGTGGGGCACGAGGTGACACATGGTCATGGGCCACCTCCACCATGCCAGCAGAGCCCTGGACACTCACAGGCCTTCACCCAGAGACCATCACAGCTAGAGAAAAAGACTCATGCTCAAAGGGCGTTTGCTGCGAGGTCACTGACAATAGTGATCAATATCCTAACTCTCCAACACTGAGGGAATAACAGTTAAGTCAAAGATAAGAACCCACACCACAAAACAGTGTGCAATCACTCAAATGTCTCAGTTTTGAAGACTGTCATGTTGTGAGACCATTCCCACGTCACTCGGTCATGTAAGGGGAAAAACAACCAAGCCTACAAAACTGCACGGAGCATTTCCTCCAATTCGGGATGACTGAACAAACAAACTAGGTACAGTGAAAAGAGAGAAACAAAATATGCTAATGGTGCTAACTCAGTGATAAGATTATGAGTTTTTCGTATTTTCCTTTTTAATTTTTACAAATTTTCTACCGTGAGTATACAGAATTCTAATACTCAGGAAAACAATAAATGCTGTCAAATAAGGAAAGGTGTCACCCACGGAATGAAAAGACTCAGCTCTACAGAGGGCTTTCTGAACACTTGCTGGGTCTAGCATCTTCACCGATCGTAGGCTCTCCTTCTGTGTCCCCCACGGAGCCTGTGACCGTCCTCTCGCTCCCGTTCCCACCTACGGTGCACCCACATAGTGCCTGAGCCTCTTCAGCCTTCTCAGATCCAGCCACATTCTCACTTCCCCACGTGCAAACAGGCACAGCCCTGCTGGCCCAATCTCATAAGTATTTTTCTATGTTTTTTATAGTATTTTTTAAAAAACAACTTAAATTATCTTTTTCCCCCCATAGTGAAATTTCTTACACAAAATAGATGTTTGTTAACTTACTGTCAGAGTTTATGTTTTCATATGTCACGAGCATTGTGAACTAACACACTGTATCCCTGGATAACAGGTTTTACCTGCCTAAATGTGGTCTCTAAAGTTTCTGGTTTACTTTACTTGGTTATTTTGACTGCCAATATTAAAAACTATCCCTTTATACTCCCGTTTTTGTTGCCTACTTACTTTAACTTTTTTTGTTTGTTTGTTTGTTTGTTTTTCTTTTTGTCTTTTTTCGTGTCTGGCAACGGATCGCAACCCTCAGTGTCGCGCCCGTACCGGACCGGGACCGGCAACGGGATCGAGCGCGACCGGCAACGGGATCGCAACCCTCGGTGTTGCCCCCATACCTTGCTCAGCCAGTGAGCGGGAACCGGTCTGTATGTGGGATCCGAACCCTCGGCGGGAGCGCCACCATGCTCCCAAGCGGCGCACTGTAGCAGTGCGCCACCGGGCTGGCCCAAACTTTTTTTTTTTTTTTAAGTATAAAGGCAAAACACTAATTCCCTTTCCTTTATCTCAATAAAATATGTGGGATGGGAAAAAAATTTCTGCTCCAGAAAAGAAATCCGTGACCTTAAATGGGAAAGAATCCCCTGCCAGCAACCTTTTCCACCTGGAACATAATGTCTGCATCTGGTAATCAGAGCATAAAAACCTGGAAGAAGTCTGCTTTTCCTTATTATTAAATTAAAAGAACAGATTCGAGCTCTTGGTCTGGTCAGCGCATGACCTCGCATGCAATCTTGCAGCTGGACAGCCAGCACCAGCCTGCACACGCTGCTCCCCGGATCCCATCTGCTCAGAGCAGGTTAAGTAGAAATCAATTCTCTGTATTGATCCGGTGCCCACAGCTGGAGTCTTCACCTAAAATTTCATTTGAAGTATTTCACTTGCCCTTGGAACATTTAAATAGAGAGAGATGTATTTGATGAGAAAAGAACTAGGGAGAAAAGTCCCATGTTCTCTGCTCCCACTCAGTACAGCAGCCAGAGTCCCCAGCACAGAGAAGTTGCAACAGGAAGGCACTAGGAAAGGAGGAGTGGGAGGGGCAGGTGGCGGGGGAAGCAGGCAGCAGCCCCCGACCCAAACAGACCGCAAGACACCGCTGGCCACTGACATTGGAGGTTGTCCTCCTCGGCAGGCTATGGCTCAATCTTCAGCAGCCTCTGGGCAACGACCAAAGCCCCACCACACATCCCAGCTGAGCTCTGAACATTAAGGAGCAGAGGCAAAGGTCTGGAAGACTGTGCCTACTGAAGAAATGGCAAGTGCAGGCCCCAGCTGGCGCGAGCGGGGCAAGTGCTGGTATCGTGTGTGAGCCGGTGTGGCTGGAGGATGCCGAGATGAGATCAAAGGTAGGAAGGCCAGAGGGCGCAGGGTGTTCTAGGCCATTAGAAAGACCTTGGTCTCTTTTCATGGCACAATGGAACCCTCTGGAAGGTTTATAATTGGTTCTTGGGACAGGTCTGTGCTATTCAATTTTCACAGAAGTAAATCCAAGTGGTAAGTCTTTGCAACAGACTTACTGTTAATCTGTAAAACTAGTAACAGATGAAACTCCCAGTCCTGGACATGGTCCACAAAGCCCTGCATCCCGTGGCCCCCCCACCTGCCCAACCTCACCTGCTCCTCCACCTGCTCCTGCTCCAGGGCTCTGAGGTCCTAGTGTGTGTCCCTGCCACCTAGAACATTCTCCCAGTCCCTGCCCCACTCTGCAGAAATACCCCCGAACTCACTCAGCGTCTGAAGCAGTGCTGCTTTCTCACTTCCCTTAAGCTTAAGTGTCACCTGCTCAGAGCTCCTTCCTGGCCCTGGTCCACCGTCTGCCACAGTGCCTTGCTCTCCTGCACGGCATTCACACCAGTGTCAACTTACCGGTTTAATGCCCGCATCTCCTACCAGACTGAGAGTTCTGAGAGGAGAACACAAGTCTGTTTTGTTCGTGACCGTACATACACCCAGGACATGACAGTATTTGGTAAATGAACGTAAAACACGATACACAATCAACACCACCAAAAGTCGGTCCTTTGAAAAGAACATCTAAATTGACAAATCTTTCACTGGACTGACCAAGAAAAAAAGAGAGAAGACTTATGTAACTAAAATAAGGAATTAAAGAAGGGACAACACTACTGACCTCACACGGTAAAAGGACTACGGGGCAATCCGTGGACAGCTGTATGCCAACAAATCAGACAACCTGGATGAAATGGATGAACGGCTGAAAGGCACAAATCACCACAAGTGACCCAACAAGAAAAAAAAATCAACAGACCGATAACAAGTAAAGATATGTAATTAGTAATTGAAAAGCTTCTCGCAAAGAAAAGCCCAGGTCTACACAGCTTCACTGGTGGATTCTATCAAAAATTCAAAGAAAAATTAATATCAATCACTCAAAAGCTCTTCCAAAAATTAGAAGAGGAGGGAACACTTCCTAACTCATTCTACTCGGTCAGTATTACCCTGATGCCAAAACTAGACAAAGATATGCCAAGAAAGGAAAGCTACGGCCCATGTCCCTTAGGAATGTAGATGCAGAAACCCTCAGCAAAACACTAGCAAACTGAATAATGCAACATATAAAAGGGATTACACACCATGACCAAGAGGGATTTGTCCCAAGAAAGGAAAGCTATGGCCCATGTCCCTTAGGAGTGTAGATGCAGAAACCCTCAGCAAAACACTAGCAAACTGAATAATGCACCATATAAAAGGGATTACACACCATGACCAAGAGGGATTTGTCCCAAGAAAGGAAAGCTACGGCCCATGTCCCTTAGGAGTGTAGATGCAGAAACCCTCAGCAAAACACTAGCAAACTGAACAATGCAACATATAAAAGGGATTATACACCATGACCAAGAGGGATTTGTCCCAAGAAAGGAAAGCTACGGCCCATGTCCCTTAGGAGTGTAGATGCAGAAACCCTCAGCAAAACACTAGCAAACTGAACAATGCAACATATAAAAAGGGTTACACACCATGACCAAGAGGGATTTGTCCCAAGAAAGCAAAGTTGGTTTAACTTCCAAAACTCAATTAACCTAATACACCATATTCGTATAATAAAGGAGGAAAATCACACAATCACCTTGATCGATGCAGAAAATGGATTTGACAAAATCGAATACTCCTTCATTGTAAAATGCTCGACAAACTTGGAATAGAAGGGGACTTCCTCAACCTCATAAAGTCCATTTACAAAGAACCCACAGCTAACCCCACACTCGGTGGTGAGATACTGAATGTTTTCTCCCTGAGATTAGATCAGGAGCAAGACAAGGATGTCCCCTCTCCCCACTTCTATTCAACATCGTACTGGAGGTTCTAGCCAGGGCAATTAGGCAAGAAGTTGATATAAGAGGCATCCAAAGTGGAAAGGAAGGAGACATAGATGTCAATAAAATAAAACTGGTTTTTTTTTAAATATAGTGATATCACGTGTTGGGTGCTTAGAGCACCGGGCAGGCATTCCACAACTACTGGCCACTTGTTCATATAATGACATTTTCTCTTCCTCAGTGTTTGCTGTGCTGTGAAAACAGGTTAGGATATCTACGTGGGAAGACAGAGCAAAGGCCCACCTCTGGGGATGCTGGTCGCTGGGCCTCGGAGCCTTCCCACTATAAGTATTCATATGTGCTGAATTTATGCAACAGGGAATTACCTGCAGCTCCGAGTGACAGCAAACTATGTTGCAAACCCTTAGTGAGACTCAACCGCCTGAAGACCTGTAAACTGTAAAATGTAAAACTGGCCTCCCTTTAAGGGCAGAAGCCACTCTGTCCCCAGGACCAGCATGCACTAAAAGCAAACAGGCTCAAAAAGTGGAAACTGGGTACTCACGTTCCTCAAGACGGGAAGTGCCAGCTGCTCAAAGGAGGGCACGTCCACCACGTACTGCCCGACCCGGCACTCACGTTTTCCGGGTGGTGGCTCCGACCTGAATGAAAAGACACGGTGTCCTTTGTTGAAAGACTTCTGCACTGATTTCTGGTTTCAGCTGCTCCACTGAGCCTCTGACCTCCCGCATATCATTTAGCATATCAGTTTTCCCTCCTGAGAAGGAGCCACCACTAAGTGTCTGCACCACCAGCCACATGCCTTATGCCAGTGGGGCTGTCTCCGCAGCTCCAGGCAGCTCATGCACCAACTCTCTGAAAAGTGGCACTAGACAGAGGGCCAAGAATCACAAAGTGAGAAGAGGTTATGACTCAGGGAGTAACTTTTAAGTGAAATAAGACCTTTTTGTACTTGTTTTTGATATGATGGTCTCATTCTTGGTTTTCTTTCTCTGAGACATCTCTAAAGGCCCAGAATTCTTTGAGATAGATGAGATCACGTGGCTCAACCCTGTGCCCAGGAGAAACCCTCAGCCTGAAGGGAAGCAGAGGACAGCCAAGGACCCAATAGGGTTTTTGCTTTTGATGAATTTAGCTCTTGTTGAACCAGAATAAAAAAGCTCCCAAAACACGGACAGAAAGACAGCTTAGAGAATAGAAGATTATGACAATGAGACATCAGTACCCAACTCTGGACAAAGGCCCTCGAGTGCCAGACAGCGTGACGACATCGAATCCTATCCTTCTCCCTCCCTGTCTGACTTCTTCTGTATAAAATCCATCCACGGGCACCCCAGAGGACTTTAACACCTCGCTGGCTTTCTGGATCAGTGTTGTTTTTCCGACCCCTAAAAAGAAAACAGAGAAAGCCCATCAGGAAACGCTCCCTCGCTGGAGCACACAGCACTTGCCGACTCCAGGACAGCCATCCAGGCGGGCAGAGCAACGGGCTGCGAGTGGACGTCATGAATATGAATTCCACCCTAATTCTGACTGCTCCGAGTGTTAACATCACTTTTAATTTCAAGTAGAAACAAGCATAATAAAAATGGGAATGCTATCCCGAAGTTTATTTTTAAATTCTAAAACATTGTCAGTTTTGTCACATACACAATCCCAGAGCCAGCTGAGCGATTTGCATCCCGGGAGGCAAGCTTATGTTCTTGCCCAGGTGTGCCTTCCTCACCTGTCCACCAAGAAGGTAACACTGGCCATGCCTGGGTCAGAGGCCGGGCACTCTGAACTAGGACTTCAACCTTTAAGAGACAACGAACTCATTACTGTTCCCTGGACTTACGCTGCTGTATCTCTGAGAACACGGTTCAGGTCATCCCTGCGCATGTGCACATGAGCGATCCTATCGGGCTGCAACCCCTTCCCAGATCATCTTCTCCCGTGTCCCTGTGCATCCCTTGGCTTACCCCCAACCCTTCCCACATCAGATCCTATGCACTTCCAGCCCCTCGTGCTCCCCCCCTCAGACCCTTCCTTTTCTCCAGCCTGGCCTGTTGGAGAGTCTGTGAACTCTTCTGTGTTTACAAGAACCAACAGGTGCTACTTAATATAATAATACTAATCACTGACATTATGGAGCCAGACACTGTTCTAGCATGTTCTATAAGCACTTGATTGGATAAGTCCTCACAATCATGCTCTGAGGAAGTTATCATCCTCAAACAAAGAAACTGAGGCACACAGTGGTTAGGTAACTTACCCAAGGTTGCACACCTAGTATGAACTATACATCTTTGATGGGGACTTTTATCTGTCACCATGACTTTTTAAAATATGTGAGTGTTGTTTCCAATACAGATTTAAGCCAGAAGCATCACGATTACCCAAAAATGGAAAGACAGGCAAAACTTCTAACAGGTCTGCAACTGAGCTATTCTGAGATACTACAGAGTTGCAAATCATATTATTTCTATGGCTACCCACACAGGGTCATCAGCGTTTCCCAAGATGCCTTTTAAGCTTCCTTGAAATAAAATATGATCCATTAATCTTATTTAATGTCTCTTTCCTTCAAATTTCACACTAAAATAATGGCACCTGGCCTTCTGGAACCTGAACAGCAATCCATACAGATTCCAGCCGGAGTGAGCCAGTGAGCATGTGGCTGATAAGAGAACAGCGTAGCAAACAAAGTGAGGAAGTTCTGACCCCAGGTCTGCCCTCAGTAACTACTGCTTTAGGAAAGTCACTGAAGAGTCTGTCCAGTGCAAGCAAGTGGCGCCGGTGGATGTGTAGGCTGGTACTCTTCTTCTGACGGGCAATATCGACGTGCCCACCACGGCACCCAGGAATTCTATGACTAGGAATTCACCCTCAGTAAATAACCTGACAACAACAGAAAGATGCATGAAATAGGATGACCACTGCAGCATTCTCTATAATGGCAAAACACTGATAACACCTTAAACGTTGATAAGTGAAGGAATGCTAACTTATGGCACCATGTAAATACACAAGGGCACCATGCAGCCTTACAAATACCACTACTTACATTTATTAGCATGGAAAGTAGACCACAGCATATGAAAATAATATATGGAAAAAAGCAGATTAAGTAACAGCAGAAATATACAGTATTTGTTCATTATGGTTTTTTTAAAAATGTGAAGTATGTATGTGTCTACAGAAGAAAATATTAAGAATACAGAACAAAGGTTTACCGTGCTTATTCCTGTATGTTGGAATTCCATGTGATTGCCACTTTCTTCATTTTTTTTTTTTTTGTGTGTGTGTGTGCTGAGTGGGTATTACTCTTATTCTGAGATAAACATGCAATTTATATTTTGAAAAAGAGAAAATGGACCAACTGTAATAATTCCTGTTCACAAAAGGTATACTGCATGGATTGGTACATTACGTAGAACACGGTAAAGCAATAAACAGGACGCATTTGTGTCAGGTCCCCCTCTGCTTCAGCTCCAAAAATCTTCTTTAATTTTTTCTTCATTAGCTAAGCTGCTACCCCAGCTCTGTCTACACTGGCTAAGAGGTGACCTGTGCTGAAGGAGACCCCAAGATGACAGTCACTTACACGCACAGGCAACAGCAGGTCCAAAAGCTTGAGTATTTTGGTTCTCCCTAGGCAGGCCCTCAGATAAAGATGCAAGTGCAGGAATTAACTGGAGACGTGACAACACGATGCACTGGTAGGAAGTACGGGGGTCAGAAAGGGAAGGGAAAGACACCAACACGGGGGCATTATCAAGCAGCTGAGCACTGGTCAGCTGCAGCCTAACCCCACTGGGGAATCCTAGGAGACGGTTCAGGGCACGTAGTCAGAGTCATCCTAGGGAGGGGTGAGGCAAGGGGGGTTTATCCACTAACTTTCACCAATCATGGGTTAAAAGCCAATTCCGGGGTTCAAGGATTCCCTGCCTCTTCCGACCTGCCCCGTGTGCAAATCCAGTGGCCTCCAGTGACCAGAGAAAGCCCAAGAATAGTCACAGGTGCAGGGAGCTGGGAGTCAAGAAAAATGCTAAGTGCCAGGGGCACTGACAGCCTATGCAAGGAGTGACCCCTCTGAGAAGATACATTCCGTGCTGGTCTGAATGCGTTCGGAAGATCCGGACAGGCAGAGTCTGGGATAGAGATGGTGACAGAAAGAACCTAAGCAAATGAAAGCATCAGACAATTCCTCCAAAAGGGTGGGGGGAGGGGAACTGTGCATAAAAGAGAGATGACCTACAGATCACCACATGGCTCTGCTGTGATTAGCTTCTACACAGTCATAATTCTATGAACACTGACTACTGCAGTAAAGAAAACTACATTATAACTGCTAATGCACGGGAGGAAGAAACCGAGGGGAGAGGTTTGAGGACAGGTCTGAGAGGACTCTCTGTGGAGCTGTCCTCCCACTGTGTGTACCTAAAACTTTGATAGAGAAAGGCGTGCAAAGAGCCATGGTGGAACACACAAAGGTCCTGGGGCCGCCTCCTGAGTAGCAACTGCCTTCCCATCTTCAAATAAAGGACTAACAGGCCAACTTCCCGGAAGACGTTTTCCGCCACACCTGGGAGTGCCTTTGGATATCAGGTCACCCTCCTCCTCCTCCGCCCCCCAGATGCCTGGTAAAACCAAATATCAAACCCTGCGATATCCAGGCAGCCTTTGCTCCTTAAGCTAAACATAATCGCTGCCACACAGTGAGGGAGAACCCCGGCCCAGGGTTACCGCCTCCAATGTGTCACCCTGCCTCGCGCGGAAATGAAGTCCCTTTGCCCGCCGGCCCGCTGGGCCGGGTCCCTGCACCTGCCCCTGCCCCAGGCAGGGCAGCGGGGAACCAAGCTCCTCCTGCAGCCCCGCCTCCGCGCCCGGCCGCGCTTGCGCAGATGAGCGAGGCCAGACCACCCGGCGGCGCAGGTCCGAGCTCCTCCCGCAGCCCCGCCCCCGGCCGCGCCTGCGCAAATGAGCGAGGCCAGACCATCGGGCGGCGCAGGCCCGAGCTCCTCCCGCGGCCCCACCTCCGCCTCGACCACGCCTGCGCAGATGAGCGGGGCTCGGCCACAGGGCGGAGGCGGGCGTGGGGGGAACGGGCAGGGACGGGGGGCCACGGGGGGCGTTCCGGAGCCAGCGAACCCGGATGCGGGAAGAGGCTACAACACGGCGTCCTTCCCCACGACGGGCCAGAGCGACTGTCGTCGACCGCAGTCAGACGGCGCCTCTCCCCCCGCCCGCGCCCTCCGCGTCTGCAAAACCTCCTTCCCGGGCAGGAGCACGTGGGCTGCAGACCCCGGGCCTGCCGAGGAGACCCGGAACTTCGCAGGCCAGAGCGGAGACCGGGGGACCCGGGCCGGTTACCTGGGGGCCCCGTCAGGAACACGTGCCGGGCCATGCGGGCGGGGGTCGCGGTCCGACTCGGGTCTGGGCCGAGCCGGGGTCGCGATTCGAGCTCCGCCCCCGGCGCGCCTCAGGCCCCACCCCCGCCGGCCTGGAGCCCCGCTCCTGTGGCTGCGCATGCGCCTCCGCTCTTACGGCCACCTTAGCGCCTCCGTCCTCGGCCCGCGCATGCGCCCCGAGCCCTCGGGCTGCCGGCGGCTGCTGCAGTTGTCCCTAAAGGGGTTGGGAGAGGGTGGCCCGCTCACCTGGAGATCTTCGTGCTTCTTCTTGGGTGCCGGCCGTACGTGGGTGTTTGTCATGTGAAGTGCTTAAGAACGTCAGTTCCTAAGCTGCTGCTGCTCCAGGTGTGCGCCAGCCCTGGAGTTCTGTTCCCCTGGGCTCCAGGCTGCAGGGACAGCCCTTCTGGAGAAGGTTTGCGTCCTGGACGCCAGTATTCCTGCAAGGAGGAGGCCGGGCTGACGATTCGGACTAGTTCCCAGTGTTCCCAACCACAGCTGCAGAGAATTACCTGGGGGGCTTTGAACTGACTGATGCCTGGGCCCCCCTCTGGAGATCCAGAGTGTGAAAGACAAACTTGCACTTGTAGTTTAAAGATCGAATTGGCTTTTCCTTGCGATCCAGAATTGGGCGGCATCTTATTCTGTAAAATAGCAAGGGTTTAAGAAAGCAGAAACACAAAGAGCATTGGCTCATTACCTTCCTTCTGTGGGGGACTCCCTGACTGTGCTGGCTCAGGTTGGCTGGAATCTCCTGTTTTTCAAGAAAACTGGCCCATTTCAAAGTTCAGTTTAATTACGGGGCACTTAGCAGGAGGGATTTCATTCTGGTTTGGTCTGGGCTGCTGGGGCCTAGTGCAGGAGGCTGGTCCAAAGCAATGGCCTCCCATAAACTTTGTTTAGCAGGAGTGACTGGTCTTGGGAAGTTCCTAAAGGCCACCAAGGTTGAGAACCACTGTTCTAGGCACACATATGAAGCCCAGTTTCCCCCCCTTACCTCCACGCCAAAGCATAAACCAACGCAAGACCCACCTGGAGGATCTCCCTGTGCAAAGAGAATTAAGTCATTTCCCGCCTCACTGAACCACTTCAAGTGCTCCAGCCAGCGAAATGAAATGGCAATGGCCTTGGGCCAGATTTACCTGTACAGGCTTTTAGTCACACATTTTTACTTGAGATGGATCATTCTCTATCCTGGCTGAGAAAGCAATTTCATTGAGCACTCAGCATAATTGATTTGTGTGCACACACCAGCCTCCTGGGCTCTCCTTAGCCTGGGATATATGCTAGCCCAGTGGCCTCAGTTCCTTGCTGTTTAAAAAGAAATCATCTTTAAAAAAAATCATATTTGTACAATATAGCTGCCACCATCATTTCTGCAACCTTTGTAGCACTAAATCATTATAACGGTATGTTATATATTATCCCACCTGGTAGTGTAAGGATCTTCGACCTCGGTTTACCCTGCACCTCATGCAAACTGTAGTCAATGAACAGCTGATGTAGCATAGGAAGAGCTTCTAAAAAAAAAAGTGTACAGTCATGTATCTCTTGTATCAAAAACATTATTTTTAAATGTTAATTATGTTGCATTTCCCATCATTGAAAAAAGCAGCTTGGATTTGCAAGGCTCACCATACGTAAGGTTGTTTTCTTTTGATGCTGTATCTGGAATTCCAGCATCAGTTTAGGTAGCTCAATAATGTACGAGGGAACTTCAAAAACTTCATGGAAAGATTCCTATTACCTCTCAATTCTATTTTTCCACAAACTTGTTGAAGTACCCTCGTGTAGAATCCAGATGTAGAGATGTCTCAGAGAGCAGAAAGAAAATTCTTCCATAGTTAGATGGTCTTTATCCATTAAAAATCATTTCTTTGGGTGGTGGTTATGTGGGCATCTTCACTTTATGATAATTCATTGAATACTTTTGATTTGTATGGTTTCCTCTATGTTTTGTTATACATCATTAACAACACAGATTAACTACTTTATATCTATTAGAGATTAAGAACAAAAGAGAGGATGACTTAATTAGGAACACATTTTAAAATAAATAGGATATTAAAGTACCATGCTGAATCTAACTTTTGCTTATTATCTAATTTAGGTTCTGTGAACTGAATGTTTGTCTCTCCTCAACTTTGGTATATTGAATTCCCAACCCCCAATGTGTTGATAATAGGAGATAGGGCCTTAGGGAGATAATTAGATAAAGAGAGTGAAGCCCTCATTAGTGGAATTAATAGAAGAGTGCTTGCTTTTTCTCTCTCTGCTGTCTGCCATGCAAGGATACGAGGATCAGACTGCTGTCTGCAAACCAGGAACAGGGACTTTATCAAGATCCCAACTATGTTGGTGCCCTGATCTTGGACTTCCAGCCTCCAGAATTGTGAGAAATAAATGTTATTTAAGCCACACAATCTATGTATGGTATTCTGTTATAGTAGCCTGAGCTAAGACACAAGGTAGAATTACCTACGGAACAGGTGATTCCAGTTCTTTCTTCCTGCAGCATGGCTTTTGATAGGATGCAGAACAGTTCTTTATTAAAGCAGTTTGCAAGTACACGTCTGCAGTCTCTGTGATTATAAAATCCCCCAACGTCCAGAAAACACAACTTGTTTTTTTATATCTCTCCTGTGCCCAACACTGTCTTAGTTTTACAACTGCAAGGTCCGAGTCTTAGGACTCCCATCAATCTCGGGCAAAGCAGGATGGATGGTCACCCTACAGTAAAAGGACAGAGGAGCATTTGAGTAGGAAAGCAAAAGGTTTTATCAGGGTAAACCAGCCGTTTCCTTCTTACACACAGGTCAAGGGCTGATAGTTGACTATCAGCGGGTCGTCTGCCACGTCAGTGGTGGTAGTGGGAGGCCTATTTAACACAGTCTGCACCTCAAGTCCAAGCTGTTGGTACTGTGGGTCCCCAATACCGTGCAGAACAGGGCTCTATCCTGGGGTACCAGGAACTCTTACAGGAGAGCAGCACAGGGTTGTGTCTGCACCCTCCCCACCCTTCCTACACAGCACACCTGAAAGCCCCCACCCACAGCTGCTCCTGGCGTCCACAGGTATCTCCCTGGCCTGGTGTCTATGTACAGGATTCTGACACGTGCTTTGGGATAGTTTCTGAGAACAGGAAAACTGAAAACAGAACAAAGAATAAAGTTGCTGGATACATGAAAATACTAAAGTGGGAAGAGAGACACATGTTTCTTTGGCCAGCCCAGCATAGATGTCCCCATCTGGAAATAGCACCTAAATTCTCCTTTCAGAACACCCTTCCCCCACATTCAGTCCCTGTGATTGAAAGCAGTGGATCCCCTCCACATCCCCCAATGCAGAGGGCACACATGACTGAGCCTGGCCTGTGAGATCTTTCCATCTTTCTGGCCCCAGGGACAGCCTCTGAGAAAGCACGTGACCTGAGCTAGGTCTGCAGCATGGAATCCCGGGTTTTTACTGACTTCCCCAAGACAGTGACCCTCACTGCTCTGCTTGGTCAGGCTGTTCTGACTCTGCCAGCCCCAAGCTCCTCGCCTTCCCCTGTGGCTCCACAATCATGACAGTGCGAGGATCCGCTGGCATGCACCTGTCCTCCTGACCCGGCTGCCAGTGCCTCAGAGAGCAAAGCTCTGAGAACCTTGCCTTACCTGTGGCTTTATGCCCAGCTTGGAGCTCGGAGCACACAGTCCATCCACCAGTCAAGAGAGCAGTCTCTGCCTGGTGTAGCTTATGTGAGTATTCTAGTGGGAGACTCTACGTAGACAAGCAGATACACAGAATGCCACATGGTGGTGAGACCACCAAGGAAAAGTGAAAGGATGGGGATGACAGGGAAGGTGTGCATGTCATTTCATAGAGGGTGATCAGGGAAGACGTCACTCAGAAGGCACTGTCTGAGCAGAGCTCTGAAGGCAGTAAGCCTTGCAGGTGTCTGGGGGGTGGCAGTCTAGCAAGAGGTATCAGCATGTGCAAAGGTCCTGCGGCAGGAATGCGTGGCCTAAGGAGGGACAGCAGCAAGCCAGTGTGGCTGGAGCAGAGTGCAAGAGAGACGGGAGGTGAGGCCATGGTGAGGACTCTAGCACTTACTATAACAGCTGGAAAGCCATTGGAGGGTTTTGAACAGAGAAGTGGCATTATATAAATTATTTTAAAAGGATCCTCAAGTATCTGTGTAGAACATAGACTGTAGAAAGGCAACGGCGGAGCACAGGACCAGTTCGGAAGCTGCTGTAATAACCCAGCTGAGAGACAATTGTGCATTTACTGGCACTTGTGTGTAACAGGTGCTCAGTAAATGTTTTCTTGAGTGAGTAAATGAATCAGCTGCATAGACAGCACCGGACTGGCAGGGAAGAAGGAA